CCTATCACACAATGCCAGGCGACAAGCAATAGGAATAGGGAATAGAATTTTTGACGCGTTGGATTCGTCGCGAAGTTTCTTCCAACCAATCCAATGCGTTATAGGGTGCTTTCACATGGAGCGTAAAGCCTATCACACAATGCGAGGCAACAGGCAATAGGAATAGGGAATAGAATTTTTGACGCGTTGGATTGGTTGAAGGAAAATTTCCGACGAATCCAACGCGTCAAAAATTCTATTCCCTATTCCTGTTGCCTGTTGCCTGGCATTGTGTGATAGGCTTAACTTGCGTAGCGTAACCTGCGTATCGCCAATCACAGGACTAATTCAACGGAAATAGGCCCGGTTTCACCAACGCGAGTTAATCTAATCGGTCCGTTAACTTAACAGGGTGCCAACATAAAACTTCTTTATTAACCTATTTTCTTGGTTAATAAAGAAGTTTTATGTTGGCACCCTGTTAAGTTAACCGACCGATTAGATTAACTCGCGTTGGTGAAACCGGGCCTTATTGAAACGGTTCTATCAGCATGATCCTGTGATTGGTGATACGCAGGTTACGCTACGCAATTTACGCTCCATGTGAAAGCACCCTTAAGCCTTGTGTCCACAATTCAAGAGCCCGTGTCAGCCCGGGTCTACAATAGAGGCTTGTTTTCTGTTGCTGCACTGGTGAACTAGTGCAATAACCCTTGGGGTGCTTTCGCGACGTAGATCAAAATGATCCGTGCTATGATTGGTCAAATCTGGAATTTCATTGAATAAAATTTCAATGAAATGCTACGAAATTTCAGATTTGACCAATCATAGCACGGATCATTTTGATCCGGTCAAATCTGAAATTTCGTAGCATCTCATTGAAATTTTATTCAATGAAATTCCAGATTTGACCAATCATAGCACGGATCATTTTGATCCGGATCATTTTTATCTACGTCGCGAAAGCACCCCCGGGCTCAAAGTTCCAGTTCCGAGAAATGCGTAGCCAATCAACCTGCAGCTATTCCGTAAAGGCTGCAAGGTGATTGGCTACGCCACTGACTTTTCACCGTCACCACACGAGGTCTCCACTATCGATTCGGAGTTCGCCGCAGTTCGCCCGTCGCTCCTGTTGATTTTTAACCATAGTTCTAACCTGATGTGGTAATAAATGGTAATAAAGAATATCATCCGCGACCGCAGTTTTTAGAAGCTTCTGAAGAAATAGAGAGACGAAGAACGTGAAAATAAAGCAGTACCGACTCCTTTGTAGAAAAGACATTCGTAAAAGTAGACAAGGGGAAAACAAAATCTTGCAAACAATGGATGACGATGCACGCACGCTTTATTGTGGGAATCTAAGTGAGAAAGTCACTGAGGATATTCTCTACGAGTTATTTCTACAAGTTAGTACGGTTAACATATCCTGCAATTGGTATATAATAATACATTGATGTCAAGAACAACCGGTCTCTTATATATGTAAACATTACATATCCAGTTTATTAAAAACATATAGCTTTCAGTACAAGTGTACGTTCCATTTTTATAAATAGAAGAGTTAGTAACTTAATGCAAATTTATTATATAATATTATCAGTAAAATATCTCCAAGAAATGTAACAAACTTTTGTAACGATGGCAAAAGTCAAACAAACATCTACTTTGTAGATTCTGTCGAATGTTCCTTCTTGCTATTGATTTACCACTGTACTATGTTTGCGAAACTATAGGCGAGACATTGTAAGCTTGATAGAAGTACAATTAATACGAATTTACAACGACTTCCGTATGATTCTGCTAACGAATAATATGCAGAGTTAGTCAATTAATTCTTTATATCTACAGGGAGGTCCTGTACAAAAAATAACCATTCCCAAAGATCGCGATGGTAAGCAGAGAACGTTTGGATTCATCACATACAAACACATACGTTCTGTAGCGTACGCTCTGGATCTGTTTGACGGCACAACGTTGTACAATCGTACCCTTAATATGAAACTGAGGAATAACACAGAGCTGCAACCAGTAGAACAACCATCAAATCCAGTTCGCAATATGAATCATATGTTGGAACTGGGCCAGCAAATGATCTTGGGAAATTATTTGCCACAGACTAATGCCATGTTCGGAGCAAATATTTCACCGGACGGCCCACCATATTCAAGACAGTTAGATATAAGCCCTGGCAATGACGATAGAATTAGAAGAAACCATCCTTACCAAAGGAATAGAGATAGAAAACAGGAGAGGGACAGAGATAGAAATCAAGAGAGAGACAGGAATCGGGAAAGAAACAGAGATAGAGCAAGGGAGAAAGATAGGGGGAGAAACAGAGAACAAAATCATAACGATCATCACAGAGATGAAAGATCATATTACAATAGAGATAATAATTATCGTTCCAACGACTTTCGATATAACGATAATAGAAAAAGATGGACGTATCATTGATACGAATTACTTTGCAATTAAGTACTACTAAAATTAGACGTAACTCATTTTTAAGTTTAAACTACATATGGAATAACCAGATTTAGGGAAATATCTGGTCCAAAATGCTTTTTAACGTCGTATCTTTGTAAGCTGTACTATACATAGCACCGTAAAGGAAGATGGAACGAAAAGAAGAAAGAGCCGCAGAGTTTCTAGAGCAAAATTCTTTTTAAAGAACGCAGAGCTTATACACGTTGCATATTATTCTTTATGTTTATTCTGTAATAAATATGTATCTTGATATTTTGTTATTGATTAATTATTGATAATAATTATAATTATTATTGAATTATTGATAATAATTATAATTATAATCATAAAAATAATGAACAATTACATTCATTGAATCATTTTTACGAGTATATAATATGTATACTCGAATAAGAGTTATATCTAAGTATGTGTATGTGTGTGGAGCGCGCACACTGCAATATATGTATATTTTTTAGATATAATTAGTAATAAGATATACAAATATAATGTATATGTATATATATAATTATATATTTTATATAATTGTATATATACATTTATACACAATTATATAAATATAATGTATATATACTATTATATATATACATATAATTTGTAATAACGACAAAATATTATATATATATTCAATACATATTCCCAGATAGCTATACACGTCTAAAAGACATCATAAAGATATCTTTAAGACAAGAGTTCAGCGAAATCCGTAAATAAGAGGTGAGGCGGGTATTTCATAACACCCTGTATATACAATAATGTGAAAATGCATATATCCTTTCATAGAAATTGCTCGTGGTCTCTTGCAATTTGAAAAGCTAAGGTTATTAAAAAAAAAGAGTTATCTGAATAAAAAATAACATTTATTATTATTACTTGCCTCCTCCCTTCTTTATACATATATGTATGTATAAAGACGGTTTTTATGTAAAGACAGTTTTATTAAAATTATCTAAATTTATCTATTATATGTATAATGCTATAAACGCAAATGGCACAAAATTATTTGTTAAGAAAGATTAATATATTATAAAATAATATACATATACTATTACTATTGCCATTGAGTTAGAGAGATAAAGAAAATTTTGTATCTCACTGTATTGATTTATTATAAATTGCTGACAATTTTTATGTGATGGATCGTGTATAATGGCATATTATTGAGTTATCGAATTAGTTATAAGTTTAATGTCGCATATTTACGCATGATGCTTCGCATATTGCTACAAACATTAAATACATAACAAATGTTATACGATTTGGGCTGTTTTTGTCCAATTCTTTCTTTTGTTCTCTTATTTTTAAAAATATAGGCAGCCTTCTGTGCTACTGCGAGCACAGGTGCATTGATATTTCCACTTGGTAGCGATGGAAGAACTGATGCATCCACGACATACAAATTTCTCATATTGTAAACTCTGTAATAAACATAAAAATAGCATACACATACATACGCGAATATCTATTCTATTATATATCAATATAATAAAATTTTTAATTATAGTAAATCAATTGGAAGATTTAAAAAATTAGAAAGTTAATATAAGCTGAACGCAAACTACACAATAAAATCCAAAATTAAAATTTTTGTTTCTCTACAGATTTGTTAATAAATTAAGATGTAAAGATAAAAATGTTCCAAGTTGAAAATATTGTAAAAAAAGAATTTCTGTTTACTCTATCAGTCTTTGCTTACGAAAACATGTATTTTTATTGCACTTCTTCCTTTGACTCATGTTGATTTTTTTAATAAACTATAATTTTATTATTACTTGAATGATGTATCAACAATGTCGCCAATGCGACATGTACCAACTGGATGGTAAGACGTCATTGTTAGATGCTGTATATAACATTTCCAGTACTTTCTGGTGTCAAATACTTGGTCCTCGCAACCAGGAAAAGGCTTTCTGTTGAGAGATGCACCAAGAGCTCTTAAAGTATTCGTGTTCAAGAGTTTCTTGATAAAATACAATCCTAAACATTCATACTCTATTACATAAAATATTGTTACATTTATGTGGATGTTTAACATACCATCTATTTTTTAATTACCTTCTATGAGAGTGTCAATATCATCCTCATTTGATAAATATTTTGGATCAATTAGCGGCTTGTGAAAGGGATCGTTGCTTTTTAATCGTAATTCTCCAGTGCTTTTAGGATGTAATAAGACAGGTGCAATCGTTACTATATTTTTATCTAAAAGCGGAGTAAAATATTTATTATAGACCTAGAAGAAAACACATTTGAAAATTAAAAGCTTCTTCCCTTTGGAAAAACAGATGCATATGAGCATAAACTCTTTTGAATCTTTTAATTTATAATTCATATTATGTTTATTCAGTTATATAGTTTCTTTTTCTAGAGTACCTCATCAGAAATTCCCATTGTTTCTTTAAGAATGAAACCATTGTCTCTTGATACTCCGGAAGGTAATACCATTAATTGCAAATCTGGCACTGCGGACTTATTTGCATGCAAAGGACTATGAAAAGTCCCTAATACTTCTATTCCCGATGATGTCCACGGTCCTAGTTAAATAAACTAATATATTATCTCTATAATGACACACATTAGGTGTAACAACGATGTAGACATATTTAACTAAATTTTTTATAATTATAGTGCTCATTCGCTATTAGCTATTTCGTAGTAGAAAAACATTTCTTAATTGAAGCAAGTATGGTAAGCACTTCTGCATGCATAGCTTTAGAGTACGATTATATTAATATTATTTTACCTTTCCCAAAGAAAAAATAATTGAAGGCTGACATAGGATTAAATATGTCAGAAGGGTTCAACCCAAGACTCTCATTAAGCACAATCAAGTCAAGACCGGTTAATATGTGATCTTGCAAGTTTTGACCAACTGGTAAATCATTGATCACCTTAATCTAAACAACATAATAATAGTTATGTGACTGAAGGAGAGAAATTAATATGTTCGTCTTAACTAATTAAAGTTAACAATTAATTTATGCTACATAGTAAGATAGTATATGACAATATGCTACTGTACTATGTTAAGATTATAAATGAAATTAAATATATTACACAAATTGTATAATATATTTATAATAGACCGCGCGCGTACATACATCGTACGTTTATTTAAAGTTCTCTTTGTTATTTATATCAAAGCATCTAGGATTTACACCAAGTGGTGGACTGTAAAAAAAGATAAGAAGCATAGATGTATAATCAATTATTGAAAAGCACTCACACCAAATTCCTGCAAATGCTCCTTCGGTCCAATTCCAGATAGCATTAACAATTTTGGACTCTCGATTACACCAGCGCTTAAAATAACCCCGTGCTTCGCTATTGCCGTATATTTTCTACCAAATTTAACAAATTCAATCCCCTCAGCTTTATTCGAGTTTATTAATATCTTTAACAATATAATTAAATGGAATAATACCTTGTATTCGTTTTGCATACTAAGAATTGCTATGACAAACTTACTTTAGTAGCATGCGCATGAGTGCATACAGTCAGAAGACGATTAGGTTTTTCATACAATATCTTGTCTGAACTCCATCTTCCGCCGTTCTCCATTGTCAATTGAACTTTCATGAAATCTAAGCCAACAAATATTATTGTAGATACATAAGTATACATGTTTTCTTTCTACGTGTAATTAAGATTTTATGAAAAAACTAAATACCCGTGTCCAATTGCGCGTTTACACTGCTTACATTATAATTTAGTTCCTCTATCGCTTTCAAAATTACTTCAGCAAAATCACTGTTCCATCTTAATTCGCTGATACTTAACGACTCAGCACTTTCCGTAACTGATTCTATTCGCACAGAATACAAAAAATTAAAACATTTAAATATATACATCTTCTAGATATATATTTAATATAAATTTACTTTATATAAATTAATACGGGAACTTTGCGTACCAGCAAAATCTGGAAACCATTTCTCATAGTCCAGCCGATGTCCTAATACATAAGCCATATAATTTAGACGGCTTGAGCCTCCGAGAATTCTACCTCTAGGCCACCTGCTTTGCTGCAAAAGATTTTTGTAATAATGTATATCAGAGTTTTCTGGCGACCCATACAGTACCGAAGCTTTCAGAAACATTTCAGAAACATTGCAACATTGCAACAATAGCTGCTTTCCTTTTACACTCAAGTGATACTGAGTCACTCAGTTATGTGAGTATTTTATACTCAGATACGACGTCATTAATGTGAGTCTATTAAACTCACTAAAGCACACGGTCTCGATCGTGTGCAAAAACTCAGTTAAATCTGGTTGAATCTCACTTCTCAAGAATCAAAAGGAACGTGCATTCAACTGAGTTATGACGGCACAAGTGAGATTTATCTGAGTTTTCATGTAAAAGGAAAGCAACTAATGTTTTCTAAAAGCTTTGGTGCTGTATGGAGAGCTTTCAGGTATATTTACATTATTGATTAAACCTTTACAAGCATGCTCTTGGGGAACTGTGACATATTGCCAGTCATAAACAGTGTTTTGAATCAATGGTCCCAAGAGCGGTATGTCGAGAAAGAATGGGGCAGTACCACCTGCTTCCAACAATAATACACTGTGCTTATCTTCAGCTAGATGCTTTGCCAGAACTGTGCCAGCGCTACCAGCACCAACTGGAATTGCAGACAAAAATATTGACGAAAGTTTGCTTTTGAAGCAGAATGAATGGAGTGGAGAGACAATTTTGTTCAAATTAGATCAACTTTTGGTTGGTCAAATCAGGAAAATAATACAGATAGAATTATTTTATAATACATTATAAAGAGTCCATTTTGAAAGACAAGAGTTTTTACGTCGTTCGATATTTATAGAGATTTATTATTACGATAAGAAAGTATAAAGTTGAATGGACAAGATATCAATTTTTGATTTATGCTTATTATAATTTCCTTTTTATCTCCTTCCTGCCCTTTTATCTCATTTCCTTCTTTATTTTTATTAATATATAAATTTAACTTACCGACAATATAATCATATTGTTGCATATCTCGAACATCATTGAAGAACCATTGAAAATACGTATCCAATATAAATGTAAAACGAATATAAAAAAGAAATAGCATTATCAATGTGCTGATAAGCACGAGCAATAATGCTCTTATAAAAATAAACATCTTTAATTATGTGGCGTCTTCTTCTTCTTCTTCTTCAAAATTGTGAATCAAAACTTCGCCATTTTTGGTGCTGGCGTCGCCCGAGGCGGATGCTGGAGTTTACCGACCTTGGTCACACTGACTTCATGATTCAGTGTATATTCCGGAACGACCGGAACTTACGAAAATGTCAAAACTGCGTGAACACAAGAGTAAGATGAGGAGGTGGATTATGTATCTCTGAAACTTGTAAAAATTACAGAAATAAGCGAATTCACAGGTTGAAATTATAAATGTTCTAAGTATACACTCACTTTTGTCATTTGCGTAACTTCCAGAAATTGACACCCAGATAACCACAGATAACGAGGGTTATACGCTGTACCTACGAGCCAGCGAGATCGAGATCGGTAAACTCTCCGGCAGTTCCCTCGGGCGACGCCAGCGCCAGAAGTGGCAAAATTTTGATTCACGATTTTGCGATAATGTCTGCCCACGTTCGATGACGTAAAGGCCTTGAAGGCCTTCACACATAAAATTCCGTAAGGACGTAAAACGTAAGCATAAGAAAATCGACCAATCACAGTCGAGAACGTAAGGCAATGACGCAAGCAGTAGCAAATCCAACCTGTTCATTTTCTTACGCTTACGTTTTACGTCCTTACGGAATTTTATGTGTGAAGGCCTTCACGCATAAAATTCCGTAAGGACGTAAAACGTAAGCGTAAGAAAGTCGACCAATCACACACAATCAGGGCCGTGGCACACAAACGGCCTTAAGCCTGCTACAGACTGCACGCAGCAAGCAGCAAGCGTCAAGCAGCAGCCAATCAACGAAGAGATATTTTCTACGCCACTGCTGACGCTTCCGCAAAATTCAGCAGTGTTGGATCCTCGCTGCTCGACGCTTGCCGCTTGCTGCGTGCAGTCTGTAGCAGGCTTTAAGCAATAAGACGTAAGCAGTAAACGAATTGACCAATCATAGTCGAGAATTATGGCAGCCATATTACATATTCTCGACTATGATTGGTCAATTTGTTTACTGCTTATGTCTTATTGCTTAAGGCCGTTTGTGTGCCACGGCCCTTACGTCCTTACGGAATTTTATGTGTGAAGGCCTTTACCAGCCTGTGTCTGTGTTGTACATACACACATGCATGCGTATTACCGTGGAGTAGAACGTACCTATACAGACCTGTGGAAAATTACTTAAATAGTGCGACAATTTGCTTCTTTCCAATATGTGTCTTCTTAGAAATCATTTCGAGTTTTGTGCGTACAAGACTTATATGTGCAGGACGATTTAATATTAAACACTGAGTAGTTCGAAGTGTCCGCGTTTATTGTATCTCGAGCGGTAATTGAGGTTATGATTTCGTCGATAAACACAAGGTACGTACATACAGTGATTTAAGAAAATATTCATACATTCGCTTTTTTCTTGTAATAATTTTACAAGAAACAGTGTGTTATCTCATGTAAAAACATCTGTTTAACTAGTTTTTTTATACACACTCCTTTAGAATTCTTGATAAAACAAGGAAAAAATGATGTAAGGCTAATAGAAAAATAAGAGTTTTATGGTCTGATGTTTGTAAACATGTAATGGCGTATCAAGAAATTTGTAATTGCTCAAACTTACGATTTTAACATTTGTACGCATATATGTATGCATTTTTAGTAATTCGTACGCTCTCATCTCAATCTTTTACTATGTTCTGAAATGCACTTTGCAATCTTTTAGTAGTTTCTCACCAACTTCCTCACAATTCTTTCAAGAATACTTTTTGAAAGTCGCTTAAGGATATTCTACTCTCGTAGACTATTAGATAGTCTCCTGTTTCCTCTCAAATTTAAACAGTCGCATTTTTCTGGGTCTATTCTGTAAAAGTACTCTGCAACGCTGTGTCTTCGTAAACCAATGTAGCTTACATTGCTCTACGAGTACCGAAGATGCAGAGCTCTGTGAGTACAACATATTTGGTATTCTATGGGTTTGTCCAGACAAACTTGCATAGATTCATAAGCATATGCATAAAGAAATTGATTGATCTATATCCTTATGCGTTCACTTATGGCTCAATCTGATTCCTTGTGCATACGTTTATGCACCATGCAGGTTCGTCTGGATAGACCCTGAAACAGTCTATAATCGTGTGCTATGTAAATAGGTATTTGAAAGTAATCTCCATAAGTGATGTATTTTCTACTGAACAGTTTGAATCAACTCAAGAACAATTGTATATACATATGTGTGTGTAATATTTATAGTGCGCCATGACGTATTTAGATATAGTCCATGGATCAACGACTTATCTCATAGCTTTAATAACGTTTTGCCATCTTCTGATTGTTAATTTCTTTAGCGGGTCTAATTTCAGCTTGATTTTTGCGCTTCAGTTTTCTTCAATTTTTTTCTACGATATGTCATTGTCGCAAAAAATTCTAATTTAACGCTTTATAGATTTCTGTACAACAATTGTTTATACAACTCTACCTCTCATGGATACTTTATATTGTTCTTACAAGGCTTGATTTCTCGATACAGCTTTTTAACTCGCTAACACAGATAAATGTAAATTAACTTTGCAAGCAGACGTTAATATAAATTGCTATTTTTATGTATGTGCTTATGTAAACGTGTAAGAGTAAAGATTTTGCTTACTGCAAGAAATACTTGTAACTAAAATTTTCATTTTTCATGTCAATAATTTCTTGGTAAAATATTAAGAATCCTGAATATTTTATATCTGTACAATAAAGTTGCTAAAAGGTGTAAAAAGCTGTATATACCCTCTTGTAAAGTTACTACAAGAATAATAAGTGTGCAAATATCCATTTCTTTGTTCACTGTGATAGATTCATAATGTCTTTTCCAGGCATATGCTCGAACGTAAATACTTTGTATCGTCGCCCGTCGATCTTGATTAAAAGTTCAAGGTGAAAGTAGCGCACTAAGATAGCGATTATGGCATCGGCGATCGAGGTTTTAGGAAAGCAGGCAATGAAAACGTTCAGCGATCGCCGGCTCTCCCAGAAAAACATGGACAAATTGTTAAGCCTGATAAACAAGATAACGGTCGAGGATGTAAAACTTGATAAGAATGTTCTCGATTACGTCAGCAAGCAGCCCGCGCCTATGTGCGTGATGGATATATTTGAAAACAAGGATATAACAATTGCGATTTTCATATTGAAACAAGGAGTCAGGATGCCTATGCACGATCATCCTGGAATGCACGGTTTATTGAAGGTATAAACCTAAGGCACGGTATTGCTTATATAAGCGTAGTTGCACGATATTCCAGTGGGAACGTCGAATCGCGTCCCAGTCAGTCAGTTTTTGAAAATAATAAAAGTTTTGGAGCTCCATTTTTTTTAAATTAAATAAGTCAACCTGGCAGTTTTCTCCAATAAGATATTAATAGTGCTCAGAATGAAGGGCAGTAGTTAAAAATTTGATATAATTCTGAATAAGAAGAGTCCCAGTAAATTGTATGTGTATCAATATAATATATACCGATTATGACGCACAGGTGATCAACGGTATGGTAGAATTAACCAGCTATAGTTTAAAGGCAAAGAGCGAGCATGTGATTAAAGCGAAGGAAGAAATTGCGGCATTCAAGCATCGGTCAGTTCATCTTCATAACAACTCGCCCGCCTGTACCTTCACACCGACGGAGAAAAATCTACATGAAATTTTGTGCGTGGAGGGTCCCGCGGCGTTTCTAGACATACTCAGTCCACCGTACGACGTCGATGATTATGGCAACGGAACGAGACCGTGTACGTTCTTCAAGAGCGTCAAGTCTAACATAGTTAATCTAAATAAGCTATGTACAGAATTGACAGATATAATCGAGGAAGTTCAGTTGTCAGTTATGGAGACCATGCCGGAATTTTATTCCACGAGTCTAGAGTACACGGGACCTCCCTTGAAAAATCACTACAATTAAAATGGATACTTTTCGCCTCGTGTTTTATTTGCTATTTGTAACGTTATGCATAGCCGTGTAGTACATAGATTTTCACGTGATCTTCACCGCCACGTATAAATGTATTCAAGATTTAAGTATTACGTGTACGATTGGCAGATACAATTGAATGTCCATGTCGTAAACATGTGGAGACTATTGTCCTGTGAATTTAGTTCAACTCTTACAATTGGATTAGTTCTGCAGTTAAACATATATCACTGTCGGATGTCGAGTATGTACATGGGTGTAATAGCGAATTTGAACTATTCCGCGTATAAGAAAACTATATTGAGAAAGATACGGTACATTTTTACTGGTAAAATAAGTAAAATGTTGATATATATCTTTGTGTATAGCAGTCTTTAAATGACCAGAATAGAGGTAGTGCACACCTGACGAATTCGCTAAAGAAATAGATCGAACAATTTTCATGCCGATTATGCTTAGCGGGAGAAGTAAATAAAGAAGGAAGATAACTGCTACATCTCTTCCTCTCATTCATACCTGCAGTGACAATCGTGTTCATACATAAAATAATAGATCTACTAAGTACTTTTTGTTTTTTTTTTGTTAAAAAGAGGTCGAGGATGGTTATACTTTCTTTTCTCTTTTTGCATATTGTTCAAGCGTTTCATGCTCGATCTATTTGTATTACGTCTACCCAGAGAACATTATGATGTTTTAACGTCTGTCACTGTGGAACTGTCGGAAATATGTCATTATGCTTTTAAAAGGTCTTGCGTTCCAATTTATGATGTATGAGATATCGTTTTAAATGTCTTTAATGTCTTTGTATGTCGATAATGTCTTTAAAATGTCTGTAACGTCTTATTTAAATGATTGAAGATCGTTTTTAGATATTATATATTTCATGGCAAAGTAATTTTAGTTATTGTTACACAGAAACGCATTGCAAGTAAGAAAAATAAAAGAGAAGAGCTGAAGTTGCTTGATGAATGTATATGCATATTAATGATTCAATGTTTATATTATTTAATGATAGTCTTTTCAAGTGCATCAATTTTATTCTTGATATAATTTTGCATACGTACATACTTTTGTATATATGTATATTGGAAGAGAGAGTGAGAGATTTATTAATTTATTTATTGACTAATTTCAGAATCTTGTTTTTCTGCTCGTTAATGCATATCAGTTAAACTCAATTGTATTGTTGTGACATCAGTACAATAACAAATTTTAGAATGTTAGATTTAAAACAAAACTATATTACATCCAGATTGGTCGCAATATACATGTTTTAATTAATATATGTTACAGCGGCTAATAATTGTTTGCACTTTAATGTTTTATAAAATATAATGAATTAAATACTGTCTTCTCAGAAGTCTGGAAGGCATCTCTTGGTAGTTTTTAAAAAGTCACTAAAAGAGACGTTTGTAAATGTGCAGTGTTATTTGATCTTGTTTCCAATCAATTATATAAAATTCGATTAGATGCTTAAATCGCATGCGTCCGACATCCGACAGAGACAATTCAATGAAGAACTGGCTTCATGATTGAACATTGTTGTCCTTAACACTTCTACACTGTTTATTATTTCACATTTTGCGATGTGACTATATAATCACCTAACTGTACGTGGAATACGAAAGTCAGTGGAAAATGGAAGATGCAGCATCGAATAGCTCAATGATGAAACAGTTGTCTGTAAAGCGAGAAACCCAAAGGTTCGATTTCTGGTGTCCTGGAACTCTGAATATTTAATTGGCAAAAGATTTTGTTATTATTGCTTGATGAAATCGTCGATTTCCAATTTCAAGAGAAAAAAAGAGACAAATGTCAAGTCTACTTGGCACAAAGAATGCTTACTGAAACTCAGTGCCTTATGAGAAAGATAGAAAATTATTGACATTAACAAAAATACAAGTTTCTTACTTTGATCTGTGCTACAACATATCTAAAGCTCATTGAAATAGGCGAGAAAAACTTACGCGTGTTTAATTATTAAAGCCACCCGGATAGCCAAAAATCGGTCGAGAAGCTTTCGAAAATGTCTGCTGCAAATTTCGCTAGAATGTCAGCAGAAATATAACAGAATCTGCTAATATAGAATATGATAATAGATGTATTCTGTTCGTTTTCGGCTGGCAATCTGCTGACTGTCGAATTAGACATACTTTGCTGGTAAAACACGAGTTCACTACGGATAAATAATACTCAATCTATTTACGATGCCTGAGCAAATCTAATGCCAATCTGTTATCATACTACGAGTGGTTTGCTTACTGTTTGGATATCTTTCTCGGATTACTCTATTCGAACTATAAATTATAGTTCTGAAAATTACTGTATAGCTTAGTACGCGCTTTTTCCTCTATTTTGTATTACTCTAAACGTGGTCCTGAACAAATGAGAAATATAATGCGAATAATCGAAGAGCAACACAATAACGCACGAAAAAAGTCCACTTGGTTAAAAATGTCCAATAATGCAAAAATTCGTTATACAGACACATTAATTTACTAAAAGATTGAAGATCGTTTTATCGAGTTTTTATCGTGAAAATTTCAAACAAAAATTTAAAGCCTAGAAGAATTAATATGTATTTATTTTAATTTTTAACGTTTACTTTGTAAGGAAAAATTTTACATTTTGTTGCATACTTAGATGTTATTTTTATTGTAATATAAAGCAGTATATGTAAACATTTTATTTTTTACTAAGAGCATACACATTTTAAGTAATATATTTTTCGTATCTTTTATGTATTTTGATTTTTAATATATAATTATTTGTTGCGAAGAATTTGTTATAAGATAAATTTGTATCGGTAATATTTTCAGATATATAGTACAAAAAGGGGTCATTAGTCATTACAAAAACGGGTAAATTGTACAGTTTAGATATAATATAACAAATAAAGAGAATATCCTGCCATTCGCGAGATATTAATAAATTGTTAGTAAAATTAAAAACATTGTGATTGAAAAACACGCGTATTCTTTGAAAACTGTTTTTAAAATTTAAGTAAGAATATTTTCGTGATTGGGAAAAATATCACTTTTTTATTTTAAAACTCAAGTACTTAAATAAAATAAATAAAATAGTATAATTGTAGCATTGGAAGAGAGAGACTAAATAATATGAATGAGTTAGATTGGCGGATCAAGAGATAATTAAAGAAACTTGTTTTCAATTTTTATTTGTTATTTGGTGATACTATTTTATTTGTAGCTGACTTGAAGTTTAGATAAAGAAAAAGAGGATAATGAATCAAAATTTTTGAAGCACTTGTAAAATTATTTTTTCTTATTCTTTTTCTTGGAAAATACTAAAAATTGATTTTTATAAATTTTCTAAAATCTTCAGAAATAATTGTACGTTTTTAAAATAATAAAATCGCCAAAAACCTTCAAATAATAATTAAGATTCAGAGAGCTCATTTAGAAAAAAACATCAATCAAATGTAATCAATTATATGAAAAAAAAACCACGACTCGAAAATATTAATTCAGTAATAAGAAATAAAGAAAAAAGAATATAAGTAGTTTCGTCCCATAATTTCGCAAATGCATCGTTCCCTCAAGTATCTTCTAAAAACGGCGTGTATATAGTTATTTTGGCAGAAAATTATTTTGCAAGAAATCTGTTCAATAAATATATTTGCATACAAAAAGTTGCCATGTTAAAAATCTTTCCCTAAAAATTGTATATCCTATTTGTAGTCAATGACATATTTGTATATGGATCGGTTTATGATACAATATTTTTCTACTTTAAAAAATCTGTGTTAAAAATAACCGAGAGAAAAACGAAATATATTCAATTAATTGACATTGAAAAAAACTATCAAATTTGTAAACTTATTACATAATGGTACTATTAATTATTCGAATATGTCGGTATTTGATCACCTCGGACAATTTATTTCAAACTAACTAGGAAATCAGATACTCTTAGATTTCTTTCATCTGAAAAGTACTGTAAAATAAAGGTATATGACATATTGTCCAACACATAGAATCATTGTAAGATAGAATGCCCGTTGCTTGAAACATTTTCCTCTACTATTTACGTAGACAAGCTAACGAATATTTAATCTTTACGTAGTCATTAAATACTCGGCTGTTCAGAATTGATTTTCAGTAACGGACACATTTGTAACTTTAAATGTCCGATATTCACTATTGCACTACTGCAAAATAAAACGTAAGAGTACATGACACGAAACAAATTATAGATATAACTATAAACACTGTGAATTTTTATATAAGTAAATAATCATGGTTTTCTTATATTTGCTACAGAGATTATTTTATGACAGCATTTACATGTGAGATTAGATTACAAAATGTAACTCACGAACCTTAATTCTATTATAGCATATTTATGTATAGACATATGTATACATAATATATATGCATACATATATATGTTACATATACATACATATATATAGATATATATGTACATGTATATAATTTATATATAATGTCATTCTATAGACGTATCTAGAGTCACAGTAAATAATTTTACGTAACAAACATTCGTCATAGTCATTTGTTACGTTAATTTCTTATCTCTGCGATAGCACTTGAGCTTTTCACTCTACTATAATATAAAATTCAAAAATAATTGTTGCTAGATTATTCCAAGATAGAAAATGCTAATAACATAAAGGATCGTGTAACTATTTCCGCTCTCATTCTTTATCGTACAAGGAAGATTGTAGAAAGTATTACCCGTGTAATATAATTATTAAAAAGTACTGTTCCTTTAAATGTTAATTTAAAGGAGATGTCACCCTTACATTGCCTAATATCTTTCACCCTTTGGAAAATACACCCCTGAATCAATCATTGACCTTGCGCAAATATAAATCTTTTTTTTTTACTTATGTACAACTATCTCTTTATTCCACATGTCTATGCTACGATCACTGTGGATATATATGTAAAACTAAAGATTATATCTGTCAGACCGTTCATGTATAAATAGTGCTATTGTAGAACAGCCGATCTGCTTTACATTTGAAAAATTATATTCACACTAATCGACATTCGAATATATTCGTTGATATTTTATTTAACTTCGATCACTCTCGGAATCCTGCTGCCTCTTATATAATGCTACATTACTTTCCGTATAGTCCATTACGCGACGCTGACACTGTCTTTTGTATTGTTGCTGTTTATGATAAATCTTAAACGCACCTTTTATTGTTATAAAAGCTGCACCACCCTGCAAATGTAAAAAACAGAAAATATATTACGAAAGAACTACACACACAGCAGAGAATAATTTGTGTGGAAGTGAATGGCAATTTAAACAAGATCGTTTAGTTGCACGTAGAATGATATGCTAATTTTTAAGAATATGTATGTAGTTGTATATATTTGAGAATAATACAAGATTTGTCGTAGTGGCTTTATAACTTGAAGAAATGACACATACCAACAATGTTCTCTGAAAATTGGAACTTATGCTTTCAAAGAATATTCTTCCGCACAGACTAGCGATGGTCGGCAGTAATAGTGCGCCGCAAAGAACACGCGTTGCAGACACCGGATCGTTCATTGGTGGTATGTCTTCAGATTGTATACTTGTGTCTTCGTCGGTATAACTGCAATAATTTTAACAACATATTATTTTAATTGGATATACTTTTTCACTAGTTTTCACTAGTTTATACCATATCATTTATCCTCAAATAAAAACGGTTTAATTGTACATATAAGGATATTATACAGTGAGGATGAATCGTCAGAAATTACTTCCAATAAATGTTGCAATACAAAGTTTGGTTTTCTAAGCGAGACATTCTATATTCTTTGGCACAACAATAATCTCGTTCTAAGTGGAGGTATTTTTGAAACTGTAAAATCACTTTTTTAAAAAATGGAATTAGTTTCTCCATACAACTCGATTATCCTTATTCTACATATAACAGAACGAAGTTAACGAAAAGTGAATATCTTACAAGATAGCGTATCACAAAATATGATACGTTTTGCAAACTTATTTAATTATTCGATTACTATCTACTCTTATGCAGAATAAAGAGGCTCGATTTATGATGGAGAAATTTATCTGAAATAGAAGATTATGTTGATCATACAAGATGTATGATAAATAACGATCTCACCCGGTGGTGAGTGTCGGAAGGCTGTGCTCGCATTGCAGTACGTGAGAGAAACGCCGAATACTTCGTACGGTATTAGGGAAAAAATTTGTTACTCCATGTATGCAAGCGAGTCCAAGATGGTGTGGAACTTATGGAAAGCTCATATTCCATGCGCGAGATGATTTTTGACGTTGTCAGTGATGACGTTGTCAATGAGTTATTTGTCATATAAGGCGACATTCGTTTTGTGTTGTAATGATCATTCGTACAACTCAAGCTTCCGCTCTGAATTTATATTTATTTTAATTATTAATGTTGCGATGTAAGTAATCTATTTTGTTATATGTCATTAAAAAGGATCACATTAGTTGAGCGAAACGTTCGACTATTATGAAGGTTCTTATACATTAAACTGCTGTTTTTCGTTTCTAACATCCTGCGTCGGCTCCTACTGCTTTCCCTTTCTAGTGACTTTATTGTCTTAAAAATTAAAACAACTCATATTTTTACAATACGTTGGAGGTAAAAGTTTCTGATCTCTATAAGCATAAGCACATCATACACGTTATGTACTGTTTAAAAAAGACGCAAATAATAATAAATATTGTAAAAATAAATATTGCAGCTTTCTTTGCAATAAAGAGGAAATACGAAAATGACACTAGTAGAACATAAATTTATCATCACATACATAATGGAGGGTCCGTCGACATTAACATTACCCAGGACGTACGAACCTGCTTGGTAGAAAATGCCTTAAAATAGGAACTTTGGACGCGTGTCGCCTCAAGAAACTCAGGGCCTGATCTTCCCAGCGAAGCATCTTTCCCAAAACCAACATAATTGGAATGGTCGGCAGGCCAACTAGTAAAACTAAAGGATCTGCTTGTTCCATCATAGTGAGGCCGTCCTTGTGACCCACCACTTGCATGACGGTAACCGCACCATATGTCACAGCTGTCCAATATATGGATCCGACTACTATACCAGCGGCGATGAAGGGGCATACTCGGAAGATGACTGCGTCAATCGTGTCGAGTACTACCACTAATGGACCTACAATTGATTTGCATGTAGGATACTCTACATGTGCAAAGAATGTAATTATAATCAAATAATATATCGTAATATATCACAATAATAAAGTAAGCTTATAATTAGAGATTAAAACGAGAGTAAAAAAAACTTTAAGGACAGTTAAAAATTGTGTTAAAAAAAGAAACTCTGGGTTAAAAAACATATTTCTTGCTACCTAAAAATTGGATAAGGACCCCGTTAATCAAAACTGTTCAGTTTAAAAAATTCGTAGCAAGTCTAATATTGATGCTTATTCATTAACTGATCTGAAGCGCGGTTTAGAACAGTCAAGGCTTTTACTAAAATTAGGTATTCCATTCCATTCTGTGTTTGTTTAACACTTGATCCGTAGAATAACAATAACCTGACTATGCTTAAAAGTTTTCTCAACGTTTACGAAAACTCTTTGAAAATAAACAACATCGAAACACCATTCGAACTTTGAACGTTGCTGAAAAAGTTTTATCCTAGTTTTAAGAACTCCGGTTTTCAAAATCTCTAATACAGATACTCGTACGTCTAAGAACTTTACAACAGTGATACACATTTATATATAAATAATATATTCACCCATATTTGGATAAACTATGATATATTCTGTATTGCATTGCGGGCACGCCACGGCATGTCCAGCATGACCCTTTTGCTTCTCGTCGACCCATCTCTGAATACAACCCTGATGAACCCACTTCGTGGTGCCTCGGCAATGGCACGGTTTAACCCACGCTGCAGTTGCGTCGTCTTCATCGGTTGCAAAGCACACCCAACAGTATCGCCTGCTGGATAAAACAGGTTGACATTATAAATTAATACAGAATGTGCACGAACAACCGTGGCAACTTACTTTAAGTCTTATCGCTACGCTTAAGGCCTTCACACATAAAATTCCGTAAGGACGTAAAACGTAAGCATAAGAAAATCGACCAATCACAGTCGAGAACGTAAGGCAATAACGCAAGCAGTAGCAAATCCAATCTGTTGATTTTCTTACGCTTACGTTTTATGTCCTTGCGGAATTTTATGTATGAAGGCCTTTACACCTGACATAGTAATAGCAAAGAAGTGAGCATTACAATCTCTTGTGTAACAACAGATTTTCATATGTCACAAACTTTAATAGGTAACATGTCAGTCTGTAAAACGCATGACTAACAAATATATGCACATTCACGACGAATTAAACCCAATCTCGGAAGTTTCCTTTGATATTAGTCTTTGTTTTAAGCGATCTTTAATAAAAGCTCGGAAAGTATGTACAGTGCACACAACTTGGAGAATATTTCTTGATAATAATAAATAAAAATACAAGACAAGTACACTGAGATCAATCGAAGGTCTGTGCGCGTACGTTTCTCTTCTTTTTTTATCTCAAAATACACGCAACACACAATTGCTTGGCACAACAAACATAAACTTACTCTTCCTCTGGAGTCAACGATGGCACACTGGACGTGATTTGATTCGGCGAAGACGCCCCATCGGTGATATCAACAGACAGCTCGTGATCCGTTATCTCGTCCCAGGCGTTTTGAGAACTGTCCTCTTCCAACGACGCCACTTGCGCCGTGGCTTGAGAATCGGATACATCTGTTACAAAAAAACCACCCAGATCTGTCAGAACACACTTCGTCGAACGCTCGCTACAAATTTTGACGGCAGAAAGACTGCAGATTGCATACAGGAACTGATATATTCGATACGTCCAGTAGAAATACAACAGAATCTGCTCACACAACTGTCTCATTTTTGCAGCGGCAACGTCTGCAGACAAATTCTGCTTTCCGAAAAGTGGCAGACAAAAGACACGTTTCGTTATTGAAAGCATTGCGAGCAAAACTGTAGTAGGAATTTACACCTGTTGGCAGTCTACGCGACGAAGTGACGGCAAATAGCGAGCAGATCTGCTGAAAGACCACGAAGATCGCCCCGCAAGCGAAATGACAGCAGATCGTAGGCAGACTGGCAACAGGTTTCATCGAAACATCACAGCGGATTGACACTGTCTGCACATCGACAAGTACAGTTCGCAAGTTCTC